TTCAGGCAATTCTCCTGCCTCTGCCTCCTGAGTAGCTGGGATTACAGGCATGCACCACCATGCCCAGCTGATTTTTTGTATTTTTAGTAGAGACGAGGTTTCACCATGTTGACCAGGATGGTCTCGATCTCTTGACCTCGTGATCCACCCACCTTTGCCTCCCAAAGTGCTGGGATTACAGGTATGAGCCACCGCGCCCAGCTCGCTATATCAGTTTTAAGTGGCTACAGCATAACCATCTCTGCAGCTATTGAACATTTGTCAGACAGTGCATATTTAAGACCTTCACATTTTCAAAAGATATAAAATCTGGCTGTTTTTGTAGAAATCAAACCATTCATTATACAAGTCTTTAGTATTTTTGTCTTTTAGTTTTTTTGATTTGGTTTTTTGCCATTTACACCTATAGCTTTTACTAAATTCCAACTCAGCTCCATGAAGGCAGAAGCTGCACTGTCTGAGTCACCATTATAGCCTTATCACTTACTATATAGCAAGTGCTCAGTAAACATCTGTTGAGTGAATGAGTGTATTATTCTATCGCTGATTTGAAGCAACACTTTTTTTTTATCATATTTCAAATACAGTTATTCCTTGCTAAGCTTGGAGGTGGCATTCCACAAATACTGCCTCACAGTTGGCAAGACAAATCATGGTGTTAATAGAAAATAGGGAGTAGGAGAGGGTAAAATAAACCAAACTCCTGACAAAAGTTTTGGGAACATGTGCTTTCAAAGTAAGCCAGACATAATGGTTTTAAAGAGCTCCTCTAGCAGAAAAGCTTTTATCTGAATCATCTTTTTAACTTGTTCAGAACACACTGCTTCAACGGTATCTACTGTGATATGTTCTCCTATAAATGTCACACTATATTTACACAGACTGTACCTTACTGGACTTGAAATTTAATTATTTTTGCTTTTGCATTTTTTCGTGATCCATTTTTATAATCTGTGAGAAGTAAATCTGTATAGATTTATTCATTTAGGAGAATATCCATTTAGTAGAAAATTCAAAATTTATGACCATATCTATATGATCCAAGGGCTCCTTTTTGCCTGACGAATTAGAAGGCAGATATTTCATGATTAATATGACTGAAAATACTATTTTTAGGTTTCATCATTAGCTTGGGCTACAACTTGGTCTGTGTTCTAACTTTGTGTCAACTCATTGATTCAACAGTGTGTCCTTCACATTTTTTCTTATGGCCACTTTTTTTGTGTGTCATCAAGGGTGAAGGCATAACCTTCCTCTCCTCATGTGCAGCATCTTCTGTTCTTTCTCTGGTTATAAACAATGAAAAAAGGGACAATCTAGTATTTCTCTGATCCTTAAGAACACATAAGGGATTCTGAAATTCAAAGTTAAAATGCAGCATTAAGATACATTATGTCACCAGGGAGCGAAAAGAACACAGATAATAGGTGGCAAAAAAATGTATCAAGTAATGTTAAAATTAATTTTGTGTAAAGTTGACCAAAGCTTTTAAAACTATACCTTTGCTTCCTTATTATTCTGAATTTTCTCTGTTCTCTTGCTAGTCTCAATATTTTTTATCAGAGCATCAGGGGCAGACAGGACCTAAACAACTCTACCTGGTGTAATAACTAAACACATGTTGGGGCAAGGTATTGCTAAGTGTGTGTGTTTCTCATTTGGTATCAGAAACATCTTCCTTTCCTTAATAAACTTTTATGTATTTCCAGACTTTTCTCTTAATTTTTTGTAACCTTAAAAAGATTTTTACCCGCTTTCTCTGCATGCCAGTCAATTACTGTGTTTCACATGAACAAACAATACAGCTTCAATAAACCCAATCCTACTATTGCAGGTTGCAAAGTCACCCACCTACTCCGTTTTTATGGCGATGCTGATTTGGGGCATTCTGCTCTTACAGGCTGAGTCCTCTGTCTGTGAGGAAAGGGTGGGTTTTTTTCCCCATCCTACTTTCTGAGAGGCAAAGGCGCCCCTGCGACTTTCAGGACTGCCCAGTGGGGCTACGACAGCCTCAAGCTCGGCTTATCTGGCAGTTCGGCGAAGGGCGCGCTGTCCTGGAGCGATTGGAGTCACCTGTTCAAGGTCGCGAACCCACCGGTGCCGCCCGCAATCAGCCAGGTCCAGCAGGGCTGCGCGGTTTCCGGCTTGCCTGCGCTCGGCGTCGCCTCGGCCTCACCAGGTGCCCGGCAATCTGCGCAATGGCGGGGACACCGCGGCCTCTACCGACCTACCGTCAGCCCAACCTGGGCCCGGAACTAACGCCCCACCGGCACAGGCAGCCGGACGCGGCCGGGAACGGGCACCGGAAAAAGGCGGTGCCGGGGCGGCCGGGGGCGGGGCGGGCCGCGGGGTGCGGCCTACAAAAGCCACGCGCGGCGCAGAGGGCGGGCCTAGGGGCGAGCGGCGGAGTCGACGGAGTGTCTGGCGCCACTGAGGCCGCGGGCGAGAACCGGGAGGGGAGAGGGTGGAGACAGGAGGAGGAGACGCGAGTGCGGGGTGGCGCCGGTCCACCTCCGCAGCGCTCCTGCCTCCCGCCGTCTTCGGAAGGCGGGCCCAGGCTGCGGCAGCGGCGGCCTCGGCTGCCGGGGGAGGTGAAGTCGTGCTGCGGCGGCCTCGGTCGGCGCGGCGGAGGGAGGCTGCCGACCCGGCGAGGGTGGGCAGGTCTGGGTGGCCGGCGCCGCGGCAAGGTGGAGGGGCGGCTTGGCATCCCCGGGGCGGGGCGAGGCTCCCGGGGTCCGCTGCCGGTGCTTTTTTCTCCAGTTCAGCCTCCGCAGGGGCCTTGCAGTAGCCGCCTCCGCGTCCCAGGGGCTGCTGTTGGAAGGGCGGGGGTCGGTGCCTGCGGGGCTCTGCGTGGCCGCTCGGGAGAGGTACTCTTTGCGCAGGCTCTCCCGGAGACTTGAGGCGGGGCGCGCAGGCATGCATGGGGCCTGTTCGTCCTTGTTTTGGGGATGATCCTAAGGGGAGAAAGAGGGATACCTTGGGTGCTTGGAGTCTAGGGACGGTTACCTACGTGCGCAAGGGCTGCTGATTAGGGCAGGGAAGGCTCGCTAGAATGAGCTCTTAAACTAGTTGGGTGTAAGCGGTTATGGGTTGGTCTAAACCAAACAACCGAGAATCCACGGGGGGTGCCTGCAGGTTGAGAGAGTACCTGGCTGCAAATGTCCGGTAGTGATGGATTGCCTTGTAGGCCCCAGAGCAATCAGGGGAGTTAGCATTCTTGTTCAAGAAGCTGCTGGTTCACTTAGCGCTGTAAGAAGGGTGTGAGTTTGGGATTTTCTTTCAAACATTCAGGGTTGAGGTTGGAGCTGGTGGTGAGGGATCATGTAAAGAGGTTTGAGTGGCTGCCTTAGGTCCTGGGGTGGAAAGCTTATTTTGGTGTCACGTGTCTATGGGAATTATTAAGAATGTGGTGTACCCTCATGAGAAGAGCTCTGAAGCCATTGCTGTTCTTCCTCCCTGTGTGGAAAATCGAATTTCTGGAAACATCCTCTGTGTTGGAGATTTTGCATATGTAAAGGCTATCCTTATTGGCTAGTGGCACAAATTAAAAGTAGGATGGAAGTACAGTAGTATCTGAAGCATTATTCGGTTTCGAGCTCACTTCTGTGGAAAAGAATTTTAAGGCAGTGGTCTAGACTTTCCAGGGAAGTTACTGCTTGGCTGTGTCCCTCTAGTCCTAATTTTATACTTAACTTTCCCCACCTCCTTCAGCTTCATCTGTTTCAATGGTGCAACTCTCTTCATCCCCTTTTGGTTACCAGTCACCTTCAGGCCACTCAGAGGAGGAAAGAGGGGAATATGAAGTCGGCCAAGCCCCAAGTGAACCACAGTCAGCATGGGGAAAGCCAGCGGGCCTTGAGCCCCCTGCAGTCTACTCTGAGTTCTGCTGCATCTCCTTCCCAAGCATATGAGACCTATATTGAAAATGGACTCATATGCCTTAAACACAAAATTAGAAACATCGAGAAAAAGAAGGTAAGATTTTTTTTCTTCCAGCCCTGTATGTGCGCGTGATCTTAAAGATTAAGGAGCTGACATTTTTCTTTCAGAACTCGTAAATGTTCTTTACTAAAGATTTGACCTTAGTATTTAACTGCCTTAAACAAGAAGGCTACATCTTGGAAGCATTTGTTTTTCCAAGATGTTTCATTTGTCAAAACAACTGAATAAAAATATTCTTCATAGTAAAATTATTCTGCATGCTGCTGTTGAAATACTTTAAGAGCTATTTTAGGTCAGATTAATTCCTTATGTAGTATGTTTCTTTTCATAGATGTGTTAATAGCTGATTTTTTAGTTTGTTTTCGTTGTGACTTTCTGCAGCAGTTGATGCTGCAGCATAACTGCTGCAGTCGTTGGAAGGTTTAACCATGGTAGAACTAGAAAGTGTTTTACCACTTACTTTTGTGTAGTTAGGTGAGGATTAAGATTGCTAGGTGAAAGCATTGTAGTCAGCCTTATAAAGAGACCCAGGAGTTATAATCAGTCTAGCTACAGTAAATGCTGATGTGAAGATCTAAATCTTTTCTCATTTCCTGAGTCATGTAGCTTGTGAAACAGACTGCACGTTGCTTTGTTGTGTTATGATTCTCTTCTGCTTTTGGACAGGTGAGGTTGAGTGACTGTCTGGACCTATGTGTTCTTAAATGCATTTGTGCCAAGACCTAGTTAAACCTTAAAGCTGCTTTTAATGGAGGGGTGAGAACAGACTCTTTAGAGTCCGGTTAACTCTTTCTTTTCTTTTATTTATTTTTTAAAGCTAAGAAAGTGGTAAAGAAGGGCAAGTTGCTAGTAACTTCCCTGTAGCTCTCCCCATTTATCTTTTTAAGGCATGCAGTTGATCACAAGTGTGATAAGGTGAGTGTGTCAGGTCAGCACAAATTCCCCATCACTATGATAAATGATCAAAGCAGGATCTATTGAGGAAGCCTCCCTCAGGTGGAAGAACTACATATATGTATACTTAAGCTCTCTTCTAGCTTACCTATAATTTAATTTAATTTTGAATACCTATCTGATGGTACCAGTACTTTTGTTTAAACCTTCTGGGGAAGAATTTTGCAACTAAAGCCAATACAGGAGGGGCCTAAAAAATGCTTTTAGAATACCATAGTGGGGCTGGGTGCAGCGGCTTATGCCTGTAATCCCTGCACCTTGGGAGGCTGAGGTGGGTTGAATCACCTGAGGTCAGGAGTTCAAGACCAGCCTGGCCAACATGATGAAACCCTGTCTCTACTAAAATTATGAAAAAAAATTAGCCCAGGCATGGTAGCGGTCACCTGTAATTCCACCTACTCAGGAGGCTCAGGCAGGAGAATCACTTGAACTGGGGAGGCAGAGGTTGCAGTGAGCTGAGAATGTGCCACTGCACTCCGCCTGGGCAACAGAGTGAGAGGCTGTCTCAAAAAAAAAACAAAACAAAAAAACCCAAGAATATCATAGTGGGTTTATGTCATTATTATGGGGCCAATAAGTGCAATTTGTTTTTCATAATTTCCTCAATGATAAAATATAATATGAAAAATAACTTCAAGATGAGCCTACTGTAATGATAGACAAGAATTCTTTTATGTTTCTGTACTTCCAATAGGAGTTTCCTTTTGGGAAAATGGTGCTTAATTCAATGGGTAACTGAACTAATAGTTTAAGCATGAGATTAGAGTAGGACTTCTCAACCTCTACACCATTGACATTCTGTACTGGGTAATTCTTTGTTGTAAAGGGCTGTCCTGTGCATTTTAAGATGTTTAGCAGCATCCCTGGCCTCTAATCACAATAATACCTCTCTTCCCCCTCCCAAGTTGTGATAACCAAAAATATCCCCAGACATTGCCATGTATCTTTGGGGGACAAAATTGCCCTTGTTGAGAAGCTACTGTGTTGAGGACTTGTGATTTACAAGGTAAGTCCAGAAGGGTTAAGTAGTCTAGTTTGTTGTTAATAGAGTCCATTAAGAGAAAATAGTTTTTATTACTGTTTAACTTTTGTGATTCCAGACTCGTGATTCTGTGTATTTTTTACTCCCCTGACTGGAACTCATCTACAGTTGCTGCATGCCTTATAGTAAAATGATAGTCTTGCAGATTGATAGCTTACTTCAAGGACTTTGTTTTCCTAGAGACAAGGTCTGGCATTTAGTTTATTTGCTTCTGAATTTTTTATTGGATTATAGTAGATACAAATTTCTCTTTTGTAGCTCAAACTGGAAGATTATAAGGATCGCCTGAAAAGTGGAGAGCAACTTAATCCAGACCAGTTGGTAAGTGGCTTATGATGTCTTGGTCAGACTCAACTGGTTTTCTTTTCTTTTTTTTTTTTTTTTTTTTTTTTTGAGACGGAGTTTCGCTCTTGTTACCCAGGCTGGAGTGCAATGGCGCGATCTCGGCTCACCGCAACCTCCGCCTCCTGGGTTCAGGCAATTCTCCTGCCTCAGCCTCCTGAGTAGCTGGGATTACAGGCACGTGCCACCACGCCCAGCTAATTTTTTGTAGTTTTAGTAGAGACGGGGTTTCACCGTGTTGACCAGGATGGTCTTGATCTCTTGACCTCGTGATCCACCCGCCTCGGCCTCCCAAAGTGCTGGGATTACAGGCTTGAGCCACCGCGCCCGGCCGGTTTTCTTTTCTTAATAAAACTCTACATGGACTTAGTGAGACCAGAGACTTGATAGCGTGCATGTGTGCGTGCACGCACACACGCACATGCACACCAAGTTAAAATCTGTTCAAAAGCTTTCGTTGTCTGTGCCTGTTAGATCTCAGATATGACTTTTTTTCTGTTGACTAGAAGATGGTATTTATGGGGGTGTAGATTGTTAAGCAGGAGTGAAAGTGTAGAATGTCACTAAGAGTTAACATATAGATTTAAATTAAACTTATGCCAAGATGGACTGAAGGAGAAGAGAAGGGCATACTCTAGATTTCAGCAATTCACTGGTATATTCTAAACTTGACATCTTTCTGCTCTAAAATGTGAAAGAATATTTGCTGTAGCTTACCTCAGTTTTCTCTGGCTGCCTCACTTTAATTCCTTTCATGGTCTCTTCCTACTTTTCTATCCTGGATTGTCGTGTCCCCTCTCAGGAGGCATGTTATCTGATAGATATCCGGTCTTAAAAAAAAAACTTACTATTTACATTAGGCTATTGTATTTTTCCCATTGGTTAACTTGCCAATGATATACCTTGTAATTGCAAATTTTATGTAATTTGTGAAGGAGAGTTTTTGCAATGTGGAAAGAAAACAGTGCTTTGTGGATATTTACCATTTTGTCTTGATCATGTCTCCTGGCTAAGAAGGGACACATTTATTTGAAAATTATTTTATCTTGTTTGTGGGTCTGTTGTCATTCTGTTTTTCAACTAAAATTTTTGGTTATACATCATAGATACTGGCATTCAAGGACTTTCCCCATTCCATATGACTCCTCTTCACTGACCCAGAATTTTGTGATGTAGTAAGTTATAATTTTGCTGAGGCACAGAGTTGAATTGTGTGAGCTCTGTGAATGGTGTGCTCACTTAGCTGGGGAGAGGACTTAGCTGGACGTGCAGCATTTCAACACAGCTTTGTTTTGAAGTCATGGTGTGTTCAATAACTCTTAAAATGATAAAACTTTGTGTGTGTGTGTAAATATTCTTGAGTGAAGTGCCCTGTTACATTTGTGCTCTTTATTGTTGAGAAACATTGGGAGAAGGGGTTGGAGATTGATAGTTCCAATGGTAGCTCTCTAAGAAATGGTAAGGACATGCTATATTCATTGCCCCAGCCAGGCAAACTTCATTCTCAATGCTTCATTACTGTCTTTATAACCACATGTTGCTTCTGTAATAAATGTATGGACTTTGATATCTGGATTAATACGGTGACAACTACCCAATTTATATTGCCAACAGATAAGTCCTCTGAATTCAATATTTCTTTGTCCAGGTGCCTGTCTGACACTTTCTGATTTTTCCCTGTTCCCCAAAACCTGCTCCTCCTCTAATCTTAGATGTGTCAGTTGATGGCTTAATCAACTAGAAGGGGTTGCCAGAAATCTTGGAGAATTTATTTCCTTTCTCCTCATACCTCACATCCAGCTCATCAGCAAGTCTTCTCAGTTCTCCCTTTAAGGTAAATCAAGAAACTGACCACTTCTGCCTTCTTCATCCAGGCTGTATCATCTTTCATCTGCATTATTTATTATAGTAGTAATTACTCCATCCTCACAGGTTTTTCTATTTCTGCCCTTTCCAAGTCTGTTCTCAATGAAGTAACTTCAGTGATCCTGTTCTGATGCAAGTCAGATGGTTATTCCTCTACTCAGAAGTCCCGATTAGTTACCATCTTGTGGTAAAGTGTCCTTATTGTGTCTCCAGAGCCCTACAGAATATCCTCCCCACTTCCTTTGTCATATTTACTCCATTTCCTGCTCTTCTTTCCCTCGCAAGCTCCATTCTTCCTACTTTAATGTTACTGCTTCCCCAAACATCCCAGGCACACTTCTGCCAGGGCTTTTTGCACGTGATGTTCCTACTGGTCAGGATGGGCTTTCTCCAGATGTTTAAATGGCTCAATTCCCAACCTCCTTCAGCGTGTTACTTGAAGGTACCCACAGTAAGATCTGTTCTTACCTTACTATGCCTCCACTTCCCCATTCACACTGCTTAGCTCCTTTCCTTGCTTAATTTTTCTTT